GGGAGTCATGGGAGCTTCAGAGAGTTCTCAACAGAAAAGAGAAGCCAGGATGCAAAAGGAATCCTACATTCCCATTTCTGCCCCACTGACTGAGGATCACAGGATAAAGGAACTGAATCTTCCATGCTGCAGTTGTCTTGCACTAAACACCATATTTATAATTTTGCATTCATTTCCCACCCCCAAGGTTGACCAATAGTGCTTTAAAACATTTTTATTGCTGTTTCTGATAGTTTGTTTGCATTTTTTAAAACCAACCTGGATTTTTAAGTTCTTCAAGCAGTTGAACAAGTATGGAAACTGGATCTATATTTTCTCCCTCACGGCTACAGATACCTGGAGCCAGGCATGGCCATCCCATTTGGACAAGCAATCTGCTGTTCAGTTTGTCATGTGCCACCCCTTACCCTACATTTTCTCTTATCTCTGCCCCACTCAACTCGTTTGGGTTTGCAAATCTGTCTCTGTACTCTGAGCCTAGAAGGATATTTACCAAAGTGAATTGTACTTGTTCCTAAATACATTTGCTTTTTATTTAGTCATTTATTTTGAGCTGTACTGGGGTTTGAACTCAGGGCCTCATACTCGCTAGGCAGGCGCTCTACCACTTGAGCCACTCCACCTGTTTTGTGTTGGGTCTCCTGAACTATTTTGCCCAGGCTGGTCTTGAGCCTCGATCCTCCTGATCGCTGGACTTCCTAAATGCATTTTCAATGAATGGATTGAAGAGGAACAAATACCTTCCCCTGAAGGTGCTTATCTATCAGAATTGTGAAAGGAAAGAGAAAGCTAGGGGGAGCTGATGCCAGGGATGGGCACTGGGATCAAGAAGGCCAGGAAACCTGTGAAGACAGTTTCATGGGCGTGATGAGGAGATTGTGCTAGTCAGGGGACTGTGCTCAGGGGGAAGCTGGAGGTCCTGAGGACAAACATAGGTGAGCTGGCCTTGTGCTCACCACCCTGTGCCTTGTCTGTGACCCAGCAGCTGACTTTATGCTATGCCTAAGAAAGGAGAATCATAAGGGGTCAGAGTTCAAGCTGACTTCCCTGAGTTGTGCCTTGGACTCAGGCCTACAGACATAATCACACCCATGTTGGCTGCAGGGTGAGAATACTAGCTATGGTAGTCAAATTCTAAGGTGACCCCAATGAATTATATATTCCTATGTATAATCCTCGTCCCTTCAGCATGGGAGGGACTGGTGAATGTAACAGATGGCACTGCTCCAGTTTGGTCCTGTTATTTGATGGAGATGATGGGTTTCACAGATGTAAAGTTGCTGATAAATATGACTTCTAATTAAATCAAAAGGGATATCATGGCTGGGCAAAGTGACTCACACCTGTAATCCCAGCTACTGAGAAGAATATCTGTAATCCCAGCTATGCAAGAGGTGTAGGTAGAAGAACTGAGGTTTAGGAGAACTGAGGTTTGAGGGTGGCCCTGGGTAAAAAATGGTGAGACCCTACCTGAAAAATAGCCAAAGCAAAAATGTCTGGAGGCATGGCTCAAGTGGTAGAGGGCTTGCCCAGCAGGCAAAAAGACCTGAGTTCAAACCCCAATACTAACAACAACAACAAAAACATGTAAGTGTTCTTGGGTTGGCCTGACTTAATGGGGTGAGCCCTTTATAGGAGGGCTTTGCTCTTCCCAGGAGAGAGCCACTGTTCTGCTGGCCTTGAAAAGGCAAGCCACTTAGAGTTATAGATTTGAGGAACTGAACACTATCGACAGAGTTTGGAAAAGGACACTGATCCTCTCATGAGACCCCAGCCCCAGCCAGCATTCTGACTGCAGTCCTGTGAGACCCTAAGCACATAATCCAGACCAGATATGCTAGGACTCCAGGGAAACCTGGGAGATAAGCACCCACGTCATATCATGTACATAGACAGATCTAGTTGGTGTAGGTCAGTCTCTCAACATGGCCTCTTCATGGAAGCAAGAGAAACAGAAAACGTGAGATGTATGAGGCCGCTGCTTGAGTTACGCCGCAAGCTATTTTACAGTAGATAAACCTTTTTGAAGAAGGGGCACACTCTAAAGTAATGATTAAAAGGATACTAAATAAATGAGCCAGTCATAGAGTCACTTATTGTTATTACCACACGTTCTGCAGTGGGCTTGTCTCCATCAGCATCACCACAAACACGTGACTAATGTGTGCTCTATAACCTAACGAGGGCCAACACATCAGTAAACAGCAGGAATAGTTCAGCTCCATTGTAATGGAGCTTAAGGGCCACTGTCTCATATGCCGTCCATTGGTCATTATGTGGTGTGTGACTGTCATCTGTTATACAGCCGTGGATGTCTAGGAGCAAAGTAAAACAAAACAAAACAAGCCATCACAAAGGGGAGGATAGAAGAGGTCACATCACAGCAAGGCACAGGGAAAGCACTACCGACATGACATGGTCACTTGCAGGACAGAGGATGTGGTGGCTTCCTGTTGCTGCATTAGCCTGCAGCTCCCACAGCATAGATAGCATTTGAGAGCTCTGTTCTCCTGGGGAACATCCTCTCCAAATTCCAGCAAAAAATCATAAACCATGCTTGACTAGAGAGGGCAGAGGATGAGGCGTCTATATGAGCATACTTATATCCATAGATAGCACAAACCACAAGGAGTGAAAATCCCAGAAGACAGATGTCAGCCACTCACTCCACAGTATGATGGGAAACTTGCACAGGCTATGGTTACCATCATTTCCCAAACTCACTCACAAAAAAAGAAACTGTGCTCCCCTCCCCACACATACAGCTTTTCTAGGTCATGCAGACCCTTCCATGCAATGCCGGCTTCCACCGATTTCATCACAATTTTCACTGAAAAAAATAATTCTCTGGCATGTATCTCTTCTTAGCAGCAAATCCCTCAGGATAAAAATCTCTCTCTCTCTCTCTCTCTCTCTCTCCATCTCTTTCCTCTCTCACAAGGCTTATCAGAGTCCTTTCCAGTTCCTTGGCATCCCCACTCCCTCTTCTTTACCTTTTTTCAGAAGACCAGGAAGCTGAGGTTTGACTGAGGGCAAGGAGATGGTGGCAAGAAAGATGAGTGTGTCTGTGTGACACACAGAATTACACCTTGTAACCACATTCACATCCTAATTCCAGGCATCTGTGATTATGTCACATTACATGGTAGGGGAAAGGATCGAGGTAGCAGATGGAATTAAGGTTGATAATCACTGATCTGACTATGGTGTTTCCCCTTAAGGTAAGGTTAACATGGACAGAGGTGCAGAAGGTAAGGAGAAGGTGTTGGAAAGATAAGTCATGAAAAGAACTAGACTCACAATTGTGGCTCTGAAGAGGAAAGAAGGTGCCAGGAGCCCAAGAACATGTGTGGCCTCTGGTAAGTAGAAAGGAAAGGAAGTGGACCCTCCCAGAAAGGAACAAGGCCCTGGCCACACCTTGATTGTAACTCAATGAGCCCCATTTCTGACTTCTGCCCTCCAGAACTGTAAGATAATAACTTCGTGCTGTTCTAGGCACTAAATTGGTGGTGACTTGTTAGAAGAGGAGTAGGTAAGTCATACACTGTGTGTGGGAACGTTGCACAATCGCTGTGGTGCTTCTGCACACGCAGGCAGTCCATAAGTGGGCCTCCACCAGCCAGGACACTTCTCCAGAAGAGCCAGGATAGGATGGTTTCACCTCCCCTCGCCCCACGCACACACATCTGGAAGGAATTTGCCTGTCCTGGAAAGACATTTACACCAACAACCTGGGGAGACCCAAAGTGGACTGTTGAGAGAGACATACCAGTGTGTCTTCAATGTAGGAGCAAAAGCCCCAGTTCACTGCATAGGGATTGTCTCCAGGAGCTACTGTCACGGTATGCCTCCATCCGTCACACCCACCGACTGATGTGAGGCATACGCAGACAGGTAGACCTGGGAGCCCAAGTGCGTGCAAAGTTGCAAATAAACTCAAATTATGTATGCATTCAGTTTGATTTGGAGTTTCTGTTCTACCGACTGCTAAGCCTGCTTCTGGAGACCAGAGCTTTATTTATTTTTTGGTGAGCGCATACCACCTGGACATTCTAGGTGCGCATGGTCTCGGTGCTGGACGCGCAACGGGTTTCCCTCTAAGGAGGGACTCATTCGCAAGAAAAGCCTGGGAGCCTTTCCAAGCTAAGCCCGGCCGAGCACTGACATGCCCCCAAGACCAGAGGCCGTCCCTCCTCCAGTCCCACCCTATTTACATTCAACGCTTCTATTCCCCATCCCGCAGATGGGGCAGCGAGCATTGTGTCCTGGCTGGATCTTCAGACACAGAATCTTATTTGTTCCCTAAAAACGCATAACCCAGAGAAACGAAAGTCTTTCTTATTGTCTCCATGGAAATGGATCCATAGAAGCTGCGAGGTCTCTCCCTGCGCACGGAGCCGCTGGATCGGAGCAGAGAGAATGCAGGCTCTCTGGTCCGCTGCGAGCTTTGCGTCTTTTCAAGGGATGCGGCTTATTCCCAAAGCTCCCCAAGTGCGGGTCCCGCGGGCACTCACATCCTTTCCCAGCCTTTTCAGCGGGCGGGCAGGAGATCCCCGCGGCGTCCCCGCAGGCAGAAGCCCGGCGCGGGAAGCGCGGGCTGCGCACACCCATCCCAAGTCCCCAGGTCCCCAAGCCAGGGGAGCTCCTGCCGCAGTAGCGCCGGGCACCACCTGCAGGCCCCGCGGCGTCGCAGGCCTCCTTTCCTTCCTGGGGGGGACTTCGCTCCTTGGCCCTGCCCGGGCTGGGATTCCCGATTCCCAGGGCCTGACTCCCGCCCTCTGCGCGCCGTGGCTGCTTAGGCCGCTGCAAAGAGTTAAGACCCGGCTGCCGCCGCTGCCCTGGCGGCTCCAGGTCCCCAGGCCCCGCTTGTCGCTCCTGATTGGCTGGGCGCCTGTCAGTAGTAAAGAGTATCAGATAGCAAACTTGGGCCCTTCATAAAGGCGTGGTAGTGATACTCCGCAATCGCGGGCAGCCTATGACATCAGCCAGGAACGCCCGGGATGCCGCTGCTCCTGGCCAACCTCAGAGGAGGAGGAGGGTCCTTGCCCGCTAAGAGTTAATTAGCCCCGCACAGCGAGGGGGGAGGCGCCAGTTTTCTGGGGACACTGGCTGCCACTGTGCGTACTCCTGCCCAGGGGAGCTCACAGAGACTTGGATGAGTTCTGGGTTGTTAGCTGCCGTCAGCTGGGCTCCTGGGAGCCTGTTCCTGGGGCGTCTGGCAAAGGGACCAGCGGCTTCCTGAGACTCAACATGACACTTCTGGGGTCTGAGCACTCTTTGTTGATTAGAAGCAAGTTCAGATCAGGTAGGGTAAGGCATTTAGCATTCTTTCTTAAACTTTCCTCTTCTGTCATTCTCAGTTCTACAACTGCTTTCCAATAAATGCCTCAAAGCCTGCCGTGGCTGCTTCAGCTCTGTTCCCCAAAAGCACACTGTGGAAGTGGAGAATTGGATTTGACTTTGGGGGCCGTTTAATGTCTTCTGTTCCCAATGCTCTGAGTTGTTGAGTGCGATTTTTGCTTATAAGTAGGCCAATCCTCTTATTTTACTATCTTTTGCCCTCTGTATCTGTGAATAGAAATTTTAGACGGGAACATCCAAAAGGAGCAAGTTTGAAAATGAACAAATTGGGGATCTGAAGTCTAGGAACTGCGTTATCAGTTGTAATTGCTGAGAAGGCGAACTGATACCATGTACTAGGTACAGGGGTCACTTAAAATGTAGCTAATCCAAACAAATATATTTCCCAAAAAAGTCACTTGGGGGAAGTAAAAATAGCAAATTTGGAGCACACCAAGAATTTAAAATGACATCACTGTAGGAAAAAAAAAAAAGCCCAGTGCCACAAATATTTTTCCCAAACCATCTGATATTTATAAATGGAGAATTTTCCCCAAAATTTGTGTGTTAGTGGCGCATAGAGAAGCTTCTCCAAAGGCCGAGTAGAGGTGAGTGGAAGGGAGAGAGGGGAACTCTAATGCTCCTTACGAAGAAAGGGTTTGTGCACAGGCCCTTCCAAGGTGTTTGCATATGTGGGTTCTCATGTTTAGACATGGCGATACTTGATTACTTAGGTTATTCTTCAGTAGCTCTGTGTATATTATTGGTTTTAGAACAGGGGTAACAACCCACTTGATGAAGGTAGAACACCTTCTTAGAAGACGGATTGCTTTTATGAGAGCTCTGATGAGAACACTGAATGTAACAGGTGTGGCTTGTGAACAGGTCATTTCCTTAGCCCTTCTAGGTGATTGGACAATTATTACACTTGGAACGAATGGTTCAGAAGGGAGAAAAGTGGGTGCTGGGAGATAGGACCATCTGTATCTTCCTTAGCTCCTCCTGGCTTCTAGATGCCTGTGGGAACAGCTGGGAATCTGTTCTGTTGAAGCAAGTTGCTTGCAGGCAGCCACAAGCCACAGTGCCCCTGAGCTCTGGGCAAGTCTCCCAGTCACTAGGGTCAGCAGTGGATTAAATCTTTACTTCCCTTTCCATGTTGAGGTAAGGCAGTTGGTTTGCTAATCAGAGTCCTCACCACTGCTTGGTAATTTGTACAAAACCGCAAGGCAACACTGCCACCTTTCTGAAGAAGAGAGGATGTGGATTTGTTTTGTAGGAAGCTGCATTCATTTCAAATTCTCCCTTGCCTGGCTAATGTGGGGGCAGGGAGGGGCTGGTTTGTCTCTAAAAGGATTTGGTGATGTTCTTGATAATAGACTTACAAAACAGACATAGCACAGGAACCCTGCTGCTGAAGGGCAGTGGAGAGGAAAGCCAAGTTTTGCATCATTTTCTGTCCCCATCTCAGTGGATTTGGGGAGGCCTGGGGTCTTCCACTGAGAGACCCTGTTCAGCCTGATTCCACTGGAGCTTTGGGAAATTCCATTCTCACTTTTTTTAAAGCTTGTTCAGGCCTTTGTGTCATAAGGAAGGATAGGTAGCCTTGGGAAAACATGTTCTAGAAGAAGCAGCTGTGCTTAATCCTCTGTCTTTGATGAACAGGAGTCTGGAAGTGGGCAGAGCATCTTGATCATCTAAGATATGAGAGCTGATAATCTCATGAAGGATAGAGAAGAAAAATAAGCAACATATAAAACTTATAAAATGTAACATTGAGAATGGTGATTTTTCTTTCTGGATATAATTATAGCAATGGCTGTACCAGTCCTGGGGGTTGGCTGGCAGCACGCTATTATAAGACAGCCTCTGTCTAACAGAGCTTGGCTTATTTTGTGGCTAACAATGAAAGAAGAGGAGCTATTCCTTTTGGTTTCTCTCTGGGTCTTCCTCCTCCTGCTTCTTCTCTTCCTTCTCCTCTTCTCTCATGAGAAAACATAAACTCACAAAACTTGTTCTATCCAACTGAATATTTGCTTCAAGAGTAGATCCTGGTATTTTATATTTTATTGAAAACTTTTTCTAAAATGCAACTAAATTATTTTCTGATTATGGCAATGGATTCCTCTGATAGGGCTGGTTTACAAGTGAGCAGAAAATTCCTTTCACTCTGAAATTCATATGGATGGCAACAGCGTTCTACCAACTTTGCACGAGCTATATTCTAGTGACCTTGTGATTAAGTACAAAACCATGCTACAGAAGAATAGACTATGAAAGTTTACATTTACAAAGATGTTTAGTGACACAAACTCATCTTACTGAGAGGCAGCAAGGTGTCAGGGTTGAGTGTAAGGGTCTTGGGCCCAACTAGATAGGTTTTTAGCAGTCACCTCCACTTACTAGCTGTCTGACCTTGAATCTTAGGAAAGTGACACCAATTCCCTGTGCTTTAACTTGCCTTGTCTGAATAGTGAAGATGATTACATGACTGCTGTGAGAATGAAATGTGATAACGTGAACAGAGCACTTAGAGCGATGCCCAGTGCTTACTAAATGCCAACAAAAAAGTATTCTGTTATTACTACTCACAGGCAGCCAGGTCCTCTGTGGGTCACTTCCTCTCTCTGGGTCTTGGTATCTTCATTTTGTAAAGGTCCAAGTTGGACTGGGTGATTTCTTAGACTCCTTATTACCATCGAATGGTTCCTTGAAGGCACATAAAGATTGCATGGGAACATGCAAAATTTCAAATGTGCTTGTGTCAAAGTTGGGCATAGGATCTGATAATGAGAGCTGTTTTCAACTGACCACATTTTACAGCTTTTAATCTTCTCCTTGCTATTAATTCAACATTTATAATCCAGGTCACTGTCAGCAGCTTTCCTTAATATCACTCTTTGTGTCCTACAAAACACAGGGCATATGCATATGTATAACGCACACACAGATAAAAAGCAGGAATAGAGGTCCGGGATAGATTTTACTTTTAAAAACTGTTGCGTTCTTTTTCTGTTTTCCCATATATTTTCCTCTTGCCCATCTCAAAAGCCTAAATGAAGGCAAACTCCAGTACCTGTCATTCCCTCCCCCTCAACCCCTACAAAGGCAGGCTTGTCAGATTCAGCAAATAAAAATGAGGGATGTCCCTTTCAATATGAATTTTAGACAAATAATGACTAATTTTTAGTATCTATATCATCAGCCTGTTAAGATTCAGGTCCCTAAAATTACAAACTCATATTTTGTATGAGAAATGAGAAGGGGGGGGTTACCACGAGAATGAACGTGGGTTCTCTGGAGTAGTACAGCACATGGAGTAAGGGAGAACAGGGGAGCAGTGCTGGCTTCCTGGCAAGGGGGAGGATAAGGTCAGCAGGCAGCCAGTGCTCAGGTCGCAGGGGCTCCAGAGGTTGGAGCTATAGTTGAAAGAAGCCAGAGTACAGCCAAGGGGGCAATCAAAATGCAGTGGTGGAACTCAGCTGAATGTCAGGTAATGGGATATACCAGCGATCTGTTCTACCCCAGCATTGCCTGGGGTCAAGCCTCCAGTGTCTGCAAGTGGTTGTGTGTGCTAAAGAAAGCCAGGGACATCCATCAGGATCCTGAAGTCAGCCCTCTCTGTCCTTTCACGAATTCCTACTTTAAGCCAGTCTCTTTACATCTCTGGAACTGACTTTTCTGTCTCGAGAATTGAGGCTCTTAGGCCAAGAAGTTGGCTCCCTGATTTTTACCATATGGACATTATTAAAGAAATTTTCACCATAAACTAAAAGAAACCAGGCCTTGGTATTACCTTTACCATTAATTAGTTTTATAACATAGGACAAATAATTTAACCTAGAATAATGCCTTTTCCATAATTTGTAGTATGTATGTATATGTATCTATTTTAAGCAACCTCCTTTTTGGATTTCATTTTGTCATCTACAAAATAGAGGCTTTGACTGATTTATCTCTGAAGTTGCCCTAAGATTTCATATTTTTGTAAAGTTTTAAATACTATAACTTTGATAAAGCATTTCCATATGAGAACACAATTAGTTAGAACTTTAAAAGATGAATTATATTTTAATTCCTAAATTGGAATTTTAAATCTTTTTTTAATGCAAAGAAACATTTAGAATCTGGCTCCTGTCACCTCCTTGGAACTATTGCTCTGTCCTTGAGTCTCACAGCACAAATTTACTCATAGACAATGCCCTCTTCCCTCACCATCTAAGTTACTGTGACAAGAGTTCTCTCCCTCCCTGCCCTATTTTTATCCATTGCACTTATCACTACTAGGTAGACTAAACATTTTACTTATTTATTGGTTTATTATTTGTCCATGAGTGCAGGAAGAAATTTTTACTTGTTTGTGTTTTCTTCACTGCTTTTATTCTCCAGCACCCAGAACAGGGCTTGGCATAAGAAGTCACACACTAAATATGTGTTAAGGTCTGGGGGTGTAGCTCAGTGGAACAGTGTGTGCTTAGCATGTGTGAGGGCCAGGGTTTGAACTCCAGCACTGCAAAAAAAAAAAGTTTAATAAATACCTCTTATTCATCTCCCCAAAAAACTATTCAAAAGCAATAAAAGTAAAGAGTGTGTGTGTGTGTGTGTGTGTGTGTGTGTGTGTGTGTGTGTGTTAAAACTAGAAAAAGGAGGGATAAGTGAATAGAATATTCAGGACAGTAGTTACCTCTTACCTTTGTGTGTAAGCAGCAATTCCATCTAAAACCTCAGAGCAGCAGCCAAGTGAGAGAGGCTAGATGAGAAGACTGGCATAGCCCAAAGGTGAGAAGAAGGTTCTGTTCTCAGGTTTGACCTAGCTGCATGCATATTTTTTTATTAAGCAAATTAATTAAACAGGGAAGGGGAGCCATTTTATGGCCCAATGATAATGGTATAACATCATGGACCAGAGACTATGATTAATCTAATTCTCTTACTTTAGTTCCTTTAAAAAAAAAAAAGCAGACGTTC